GGCACACGGGGCGGGCCCGGCCGTGCCCCCCCCGCCGCCTCGGCTGGAGAGGCTCGTGGCCGCCTGCACGGAGGACCGCGGGTGAGACCGGTCGTGCTTCGCCTGCCGCTTCTCTGTCCAGGCCCTCCTCGTCAATGCCATCTCGGGAACAGTGGGAGGTGGTAAGGGAAACCAGATGAGCGCTACCCACACTGGGCACTCAGGACAGGCCGGACCACTCCGCAGAGCACTTCTGTACCCCAATGTCCAACGCCAGGCCAAGCTAGACACGAGCAACTCAATCAGAGATGTTGACCAGTGGCCAGAGTCTGGCGGATCACCGCTTCGCCCGAAGTACAGGTTACGCAAGGGCTGATCTCTAGGCCAGGGCTTCTGCTAGCTTAGGTGGGGCCCAAACTGGAATTTAAAGTGAACAAGGAACAGCACTCTCTGGGTGGTCCTGCTGGGCACCCAGGTCAGGGTCACCGGTTGAAATCAGAGCCCTGAGCTCCAGCCAGGCACACTCTAGCGTGTGTAAAACGAAGTTGTTAATTCATAACATGCTCTTAAATGTGTGGTCAAGCGCCCTGAGTCTTTTTAAACAGAACATGGTTAAATCAACACGAGCCACAAACACATAAATCCTTGCAAAAAAAAGAAACCATGCAAGAGACCACAGGACAAGCAGTTGAATCTTGAAAAGCAAATAAGCCTGACACTCACGCGGTGTGTGTGCGTTGTGTGCGTGTGTGTGTGTGTGTGTGTGTGTGCGCGTGCGTGCACGTGTGTCCACTCAGCCCTTGCAGGATGGGACACAACGGGAGATAGGCGAGCTCCTGGCCCTCCCCTGCACCCACCACGATGGTTGTCTTCGGGTCTTTGCCGGCCAGCTCCCTCACTGCCATCTCTTCATCAGGCTGTCCAAAAGTAAAGTAGTTTGGGTAAAAGGCGCCCGCCAGCACAACCTGGAAGAACATTTATTCTCATGAAGTGACTGCAGTATTCTTCCGTAACAGCTCACTATCCAGCAATCTAGGTGTGATGCGACATCTACAAACGCAAAGGGTACACGCCAGCACAGAGGCGCGACTGGCCACAGCACCGCCACGGAACAGCTTAAGGCAGCCTTTCTTTGAAGGAGCCGAGCACCCCTCAGAGTGCGGTGAGGAGCAGGGTAGGCTGCACGAGGGCGGGAGGACGGCCCAGCTGAGCCCCAGGGCTGGTCCGCTTCTTCCAGCACGCCCTGCCCTGGGTAAGGCATGCTCCCAGATATCCAGAGGCGCTTGGTCAGGATTCACAGACGTAGGGCAGTAGCTAGTACCCAATATTCACTTCTAAAAAGCAATTTGCAAAAAATCCCCAAAATACACTGTTTGAAACATATAACCACAAAAGACTCTCTCTCAGCCTCAAGGAAGCTTTACATCCAGAAAAACGTGTACACGCCTAGAACCTCAGTTTACAGACATCTACCCTGAGCCCAGTGTGGCATGCAGCAGCCAGCCCTCCTGAAACCCCACGGCAGGTGCATTCTCTACCCCACGACTCCCCTAAGGCCCCGTGCACCAGGCCACAGTCTGACTCCATGGCCTACCCAGGGCCCACATTAAGAGCATTCTCACCATCTCCTAAGTGAAAGCAGTCCAGCCACAAGCAGTGTGTGCTGCTAGGACACTGTGCTCTGCCTGCTGGGACCACATGGGAGGCCCTGGTTCGACTCCTGGTCTAATCTAAAAGGCTGGCTGTGGTGGCATGCATCTAATTTCCAAGGACCTAAAAGCCGGAGGCAGGAGGATGGCCAGCTCAGTCAAGCCTGGCCTAGGCAACAAAGAGAGACTCTATCTTTAAAAAGGCGGAACAAGGTGGTGCACTTTCCGTGTCAGCGGAGGGCTGAGGCTGGGGAGCACGGACGCTGCCTTTACAACACGGGCCCGTCAGCGGCTTGGTGGTTATGGTGAGGAGCAGACACGGCTGACCGTGATCTGAATCCCAGACCCAGCAGCTTGCAGAGCACAGCTGGGCGTGTGGGCGTGCCGAAGACTCCCAAGAAGAAAATGGATTGTGCCTAGCCATCACCCCAGGGGGCAATTCCTCACTCTCTCTCTCTCTTTCCAGCAAACACACATACTCTATAGCAAATGTTTAAAAACGGAAAAACAAGAAGCCAGCAGGAGGTGCAGTGATTAAAGCACTGGACTCCCCCATGGCCAAAGGTGGTTTGAGCCCCATAGCTGGCAGCTTGAAACTCATACCAGGAACTCCTGTGTGTGTGCCCAAAGTCCTGGGGAGGATGAGAAGGGACTGCAGCGTGGCCATCCCCCGGGAGGGTGACTTCTCGCTTCCTAGCTCTCTCTATCTCTGTGTCTCTCTGGCGAGTCCATGCATCCTACAGCAAAAATCTCTCCGGGGGAAAAAAATGAAAACAAAACAACGTGTTATGGTGTGGGTAAAGGTTTGCACCCCAGAGTTTCATGTTCGGAATCTGGTCCCCAGGGTCATGTGTTGGGACACGGTGAAGGCTAGGGGGCGTGAGTAGATTGTGGCGGCCCGACCAACGGACGCTGTCACTGAGATCAAGTGCGTTCGCTCTCTCCCGAAAGGGAGTGTGGCTGGTATAAACGAAGACCACTGCTCCCAGGTGCCCCGCACGCACCTGCCCCTCTGCTGCCGCCCGCCAGGCTGCAGCGGCCTGATGCCAGCCACACACCTTTGGACATTCCAGCCACTGGGACTGTGAGCAAGGAAACCTCTGCTCTTTATAAACCGCCAGCCTCACGCACTTCTGTAAGTAACACAGTCACAAACTAAGACAGCTCTGAAGCTGACGGTGCTCCTGCAGCCGTGGACTCTACTCTGCAGGGGCACGCTCAGGGAAGTGCGGTCCAGTCGTCGACTCAGCTGGAGGAGAACTGAAACTATAAAAGATGAATTTTCCTTGGTTCCCAAGCACAATATAAATACTGTGAACCTAAAAACCCCCTTTACAGAGAGTTTGGGCATGGCCATCCCCCAGCACAGCTGCTATTAGAATGTAGGGGTAAAAAATTTCTTAGCCAGGAGACCTGAAAAGGGGAAAGTTCCAGGACAGAGCCATGCGGGACGTGGGCCGCACCTGCAGAATGAAGCGCTGCTTGTATGTGTACTCGGGGTCAAGCACGGGCCGCCGGGAGTCCACACACATGTTGAACTGCAAGATTCGGGTCTTCAGCTCTTCGTACAGCTCAGCCACCTAAGAGAAGCACACTGAGAGCTGAGGCCTTGGCGCACGTGTTATCAGAGCAGTGACGACACTCGGAATTCAGTCCACAGTGAGGACAGCACCAACACACGCGGCTGCACTAACTCCAGGAAAGAAACTCCCCCGAGTGACCCCACCCTGTCCTCTGCCCCAAGGCTACAGAACCGCACCATCCTGAGGAGCAGGAGCCCCACATCGCCACATCCCTGAGACACACCAACACCCCACCACACTCAGGTGGGCGGCTACTGCTGCCACCACTGCCGCCGCAGCTAGACTGGCCAGCTGCACCCCGACCCCAGAACACCTGAGCCCACACAGCGCCTGCCATGCCAGGACTCAGACGAACAGATGCAGCAGAAAGCTGTCCTCGGGAATGGAAGGGTGAACTGACGCAGGCGCTCCCCCCCAGTCAGTGGCCACTCCCCCCAGCTCTCAGTTAGGCCCTCACACCTCACAGGAGCCCCTAAGAAATGCAGGCTCCTTCTCCTGACCCACGCCACAGTCCCACGCCTCCTGCCTCACGAAGTCCTTCAGGGACAGCAGTTGCCCTCTCAGCTCCTGCCCACAGGTGACCACTTATCTCCCAACACTGGGGCTGACAGGCTCTCGAGAAACTGGACGGCACCCTTGGGATCAGGACCAGTACTGCTGGTGGCCAGCCAGCCTGCCCGGTAGTCCCTCAGCAAAGCCGAGCCACGGCTACCATGACCCTTGCCATTTGTGAGACACGCACAGACATCACTCCGCTGGTCCCCCGAGAAATCACAGGGGACTCCGCTGCTGCCCCGACTCAGCCAGAACCAAAGCACCGCACCCAACTAGCACGGCAGGACACAGCCTCCTCGAGGACAAAGGCGTCCCCTGAGGAACGCACACTGGGCCACCCCGCAGTATGGTGGTTACGCAGCTGGAGCTCACGTGGCTGACTGCGTGGTGCAAGTCCCGGCCCCAGCGGCTTGAAGAGTGCCAGGCGCACGCACCACGTGTGCCTGAAACCCTGAGAGGAGAATGGAGAAGACGGGATTGAGGCACGGCCACCCCCCGGGAGTGCTTCCTCACTTTCTCTCTCTCTAGCAAGTGAATGTACTCTATAGCAAATTTTAAAAATTAGCAAGAAATGCCAGGTACTTGAGGAAAACCTGTAACATGAAAGAGACCAGAAAAGAAAAAGGAAAGCGAGCAAGCTACTCCACACAACTGGGAGAGAGGACACCCCGCAGAGGCGGACACCAGCAGAGCCCGGGGACGCGTGAGAAAGAAGGAGACGTGGCGCCTCCAAGGAACACACGAAGGCTCCAGGAGCAGATCCTAAAGAACATCTTTCACATGAAGAAGAACTCAAAATAAGGAGCCTGAGGAGACTCAGCAAGATACAAAACCTACTGACAACTTGATGAGTCAGGAGGACGGCCCACGACCACAGTGAGAAATTCAACAGAGAGGTCGTAAGCACTCCCTAACGGATCATCTCAGAACTCAGTCACGTCACAGACAAGACACACGGGGCCGACTCCATAACAGCTGCTGCTCACTGTGCAGAGCAGACAGGACGCCACCGGCCCAGCACGGCTCAGATCCGGGCCCCAGTGGCAGCAGGCTGGGGGTGCGTGGTGCGTGTCCAGGATGCTGACAGGGTGGAGGCGGAGGGGGGACAGTGGCCAGGCCGCGTGACCAGGCCCCACCGAGGGCGGCGTCTCTCTTTCTCTCACGTGTGCACACAGTGGAGAAAAAGAACGAGAACCTTCATGTTAAACATGTACGCTAGAGAGCTTCGACAGCAGGACATCTCTGAGGACACATCTTCGGAGCACATCCCAACAGAGCGGAAAGTGACGAGAGCCCACAGAGCTTCTGGGAGAGCATTAAACAAGCACTCATGTTATGGGAATGCATTTCAGAAGACAGAGAGACACAGAAAGCTTACTAAATACTGAGTTGTCTGAAAAGCGGTGAAGTAAATTTTTGTTTTTCCATGCTAAAATGGATCATGACTTTTCCTACAGCCCAGTAAGACAACTGCCGAAAACTTACAAGTATTGGGAGAGACAGGACAGCTGGGTACAAGAAGCTGAAAGATCCCCAAGGTACATTCAACCCAAAGAGGTCCTCGCTGAGGCATATTAAACAGCCAAAAGACAGGGAGGAGTTGAAAAGCAGCGAGGGAAACCTGCCAAGTCACACATTAGGAATTCCCTCAGACAAACAGCAGCCTGTCAGCAGAGACTGCTGTCTGAGAGGGACCGAAACATATTATTATTATTTTTTAATTTCAGAACTGACTAATTATCTTGCAAATTGTGTCATAATGAGTTTGGACGCCTGGGCTGTTGAAACCCTGTACGTTCCAAAGGTCTGGCCCATCTCTTAGGAGGCAACTGCAAAACGCATGGACTCATCCTGCCTGGTAAGAACCCCTTTGCGCACCTGAAGGCTTGGGCTACACCAGACAGGGCCTTTGTCTATGAAGTGTCAGTCTGGCCCCTGGAAGGGCTAAAGACTGGATGACTAAGATCAGCCACACGGACCCAGCTGGCCCACACACGCAACCCTCAGTAAAACCCGACACAAACCCCACGTGAGCACCCTGCTTGGCAGGGCCTCGTGCCGCATCACGCATCACCGGGCCTTCGAAGCTGCACTGGCCTCTCCGGGCTCCTCCACCTGCCTTCACCCTGGTCACCCAGCTCACTCGAATCTGTAACCTTCAACTGAGACAAACCATAGCTGACTACAACAGATTTTCTGAGTTCTGTGAGTCCTTCTAGAGAATCACTGAGCCTGAGGGTGGTCCTGGGACCCCTGAACATATAAAACCAAGAGACAATGAGAGCAGAAGAAACACATGGCATCCAAAACAAGGAAGAGGTTACCACTTGACACAGAATTCAAACTAAATTTAAAAACTACATATAACTACGCACCAATAAACTTGAAGATCTGGTCAAATGAATACTTGAATAAATAATTCAACTCATCAAGAATGACTGTAGAAGACCAGTACACTAGAATGGACCAACAGCCACCAGAGAAACTGAGAGGGCTATTTCTATTTTTTTATTTTTTAAAAATTTATTTATTCTTTTTTTTTTTTTTTTTTGAGAGGTTTTTGCTATAGGGAGCGTGCACTCACCAGACAGACAGAGACAGAGAGACAGAAAGCGAGAAATCACCCCCCAGGGGGGATGGCCACACCGCAATCCCTTCTCCTCCATTCTCCTCTCGGGATCTTGGGCACACACGCACATGCACCCGGTGTGAATTTAAGCCACCGGGTCAGGAACTCGAACCGCGGTCGACTACGTGGGAGTCCAGCAACACAGCCATTACACTAACTGCTGGTCCCAAGGGGGTTATTTCTTTAAACAATCTATACCTCAAGAAGAAGGGCACTGGTCCCCAATGCTTTCAAGAAAGTGTTTCATCAGACTTCTAAGAAACACATACTCCCAGTTATTCTATTGTTAATTAAAACTGCTCCTGTGCAGGCCGGCCAGTGGCAGGGTGATTAAGGCACTGGATCCCACATGGTCAACTGTGCAGTTTCAGTCCCAGACCCAGTGGCCTAAAAATCACACTGGGCACATGTGAACATGTGCCCAAAATCCCAAGAGGGGAATGGAAAAGGGACTGTAACGTGGCCATCCCCCATGGGGGTTGATGCTCATTCTCCCTCTCTCTGTCTCTTTCCCCCCAACAAGCACATGCATCCTATGGCAAAAATTTTTTAAAAACTTAAAATTGCCCCTGTGCAAGCAAAGACGTTTGCCCCACAGGGTGGCAGAAACCCAGATCTGCCTTATGTGCGCATGCTCATCATATGTGCATAAACATGCACACACACAAACCACAGGTCAACTGCATACATGAATACAGAAACAAAAATGCTAGAGATGGTTTTGACTTTTAAAACCCAGTAATTTTTTTTTCTTTTTTTGGAGAGGTTTTTGCTATAGGGCGCGTGCGCTCACCAGAAAGACAGAGACAGAGAGACAGAAAGCGAGAAATCACCCCCTGGGGGGATGGCCATGTCGCAATCCCTTCTCCTCCGTTCTCCTCTTGGGATCTTGGGCACACATGCACACGCATCCAGTGTGATTTTGAGCCACCGGGTCTGGGACGCAAACCACAGTCGACTACGTGGGAGTCCAGCAACATAGCCATTATGCCAACTGCTGGTCCCTAAAACCCAGTAATGTTTTGAAAGAAATTATCATGAGGGTTTATTCCAAGAACACAAGGCTGGACCAATAGTAGGAAGCACATATGGAATTTACTTAGTGATAGGTTAAAAAGAAAAACACTGGGACCAGCAGACGGCCTAATGCTTACATTGCTGGACGTCTACATAGTCAACCGTGGTTCGAGTCTAAGACCTGGTGGCTTAAAAATCACACTGGGTGTGTGTGCGTGCATCCCCAGAATCTTGGGAGGAGAATGGAAAAGAAGGGATCACAGTGTGGCCATCCCCCGGTGGGTGATTTCTTGCTTTCTGTCTCTCTCTCTCCAGTGAGCGCAAAGGCCCTACAGCAGAAGTCTCTCTAAAAAGAAAAAGACCATATGTTTATCTTGATACGTCCTGAAAAGAAACCTAACGAGACCACACATCCACTCCTCATGAAACGATGATGGGAAAATAAAATTCCCTTAACTTGACAGAGAGCATGTACACGATCCAAGCAGCTATCACATGTGACAGTGAGAACGTGGGGCATTCCCTGAAGTTGCGAACACGCGGAGTACCCCTACTACCCTGGTAAGGCGTGCTAAACAGACATCTGAAAAGCAGCTTCATTGCAGCCATCTCACCAGAAGTGTAACTTACCTCTCTAATTCTCTTGATCTGAATGTAATGTAACCGTCCCCAGTCAAGTTCATCCTTTAAATACACAAAAGCACGATATTCCACATTAAGGTAATGGAGTTGAATTGGCTACTAAAATATGTATGTCTCATTTGAACATTTGCTGAAGGTGAATTACTGAGCTACTGAACAGTCTACTCAAGGTGACCATGGTTTTTCTTTTCAGGTGCTTCCAACTCCACACTGAAGTCAGAAAATATAAGGGAGATCCTAGCCAAAAATATTATAATGCAGTAACTCTTGTTCTTATGAGCTCACCTGTCTCAAAGGACGTCGACAGATTGTACACGAACAAGAAAACAATATGGCTAAATCTTTCAAACGTAGTTTTAAAGAGAATACTTATTGGCAGAAATATATCTAAGCACAGAAAACTTAAATACACACAGACCTATGAATAGTCTTTTGAACCTAGTCAGTTTAGAAGACGAACAAAGCCTAAAGAAAAAAGGAAGACAAAGCAAAATCGAGGCTAATCGGTTAAGCTCTTCTAAGTCCGTTACATCTAGCCTAAGTGAAGGCCAGGGGAAGGGAAAGGCTGCAGCAGCGTCAGCTCCAACTCTGACACCCACCGGGGAGGCAGCGCTCAGAGCACAGCAGCTGCCGGCCTAGAGTGAGCAGTGCTGGGCCTGGACAACAGCACGTTCCACCACAGGCCTGGGTTCGCTCCTGAGAAACGGTCAAAGCAAAGGCACTTTGCAAAAGGATTCAGGTAGAGACGACAGCCTGTAACTCTCGGAGGACAGTCTCGTGAGAGCTGCGCAGTGACTGCAACTCGGGGGAGAGCATCAAGTCTTCCGTGATCACTCAAGGCCATTTACAAAGAAACGAAAAGGAGACAGCTCACCAACCTTTGGGTGCCGCAGCTCTCCTCTCTGTCTGCAAGCCTGCCACGTCTAAACACAAACAAATGATCCAGAGTTTCAAAGGACTTCACTGTCTGAAGAACTTTTTAAAATCCAATCTCAATACATCATGACCACAGGACACTTACAAACTTATTTTTCCACCAAATTCATACAACTGAACTCACACTCCCATCTAGTTCTTCAGCATAATTTATTTACTTATCATTAGACACCAATAACTCTAAAATAGTTTTGTTAGAGGAAACATTCTCACTTTCTACCTCACAGGTTTATGGTACAAAAATATACCCACACTCTGTGGCGGCTGCTTTTGTAGCAGCACTACAGAAAACTTACTTTAAAGGCCTCCACAAGTGCGATACAGTCACTCTTACTATTGCCAGAGAAATTCACTTTGTTCCTATAAACACGCAAGAAAGAAGTGTCACTTAATGGCAATAAAACAAAGCGATACTTTAAAATATTAATGTTAAGTACCTATATCCATCAAGATGCTGTCTAAATGGTATCGCAAAAAAATTCTTCAAAGAAAGAGCAGCCGCTAACAACAGAGAAAACAGGAACGTGAGACCGTCAGAGCCGCCACGGCCCCCGCGGCACTCACCTGCTCTCACACTCACCTATGATAAGACACTCGTCTAGACAGCCAAACACGTGCCCCAGGACGATGAGCTTGCCAAGCTGCTGGCTGACAGGAAGCTGGGCTAACACCCTTCCTAAGAAGGTCAGCTCACCATCGTGTGGGTTTTCCTCTTCTCTCTGCCCACTCACTGCAAGGGCTCCAACCTTTAGAAAATAAATTAATGCAATTAAAGCACGGACTTCTTCACACTTCTTTCTCCCTTAACACAGTGTTCAAAGATAAAGATGGAATTGTGGTGAGTAAGGTCCTAAAAGACGCCGAAGTCGATTCGTGAAAGGCTGACGCTACCAGAACACATTTTTTGAATCTGTCCTTGAAACTCTGAACACGTTTTACCATTCTTTCAAACGTATAATACTGGGAACTAACACTCAAGGCCACTCCATAAAAGTCTAACCACTCCCAATTTAGCAAACACAGCATGCACAGTACTAAGTGAAACCTGCTGGAGTCCACCCCCGTGAGGATGGCCCAGGTCTGTGGGAACCCCAGAGTGACCCGGCACACTGGGTCCTCAAGCACAGGAGACTGCACGCGGTCTCTAACCCGTTTCCCAGAGCCGCAAGCCAAGTCCCACTGGTTCTTGTGCCTCATGTCTAACATCATAGCTCTTCATGCTATGTTTGTGTTTCCAAGAAAAAAAAAATGTTTTTTGAGAGGTTTCTTCTATAGGGCACATGCACTCGCCAGAAAGACAGAGACAGAAAGTGAGAAGTCACCCCCCAAGGGTGATGGCCATGCCACAATCCCTTCTCCTCCATTCTCCTCTCGGGATCTTGAGCATGCACGCACACGTGCCCGGCCTGAATTCAAGCCACCGGACCCAGGACTCAAACTGCAGTCAACTACATGGGAGCCCAGTGACACAGCCATTACGCCAACTGCTGGTCCCTCCAAATAAATCTTTAACATCCTTCTTAAAGATGGTCGTGCTTTCGGACCAGCAGTTAGCATAATGGCTATGTCACTGGACTCCCATGTAGTTGACTGCGGTTCGAGTCCCAGACCGGGTGGCTTAAACTCACGTCGGGTGCGTGTGTATGCGTGCCCAAGATCCTGAGAGGAGAAAGGAGGAGAAGGGGGGACCAGCAGTTAGTGTAATGGCTATGTCACTGGACTCCCACGTAGTCAAACGCGGTTCAAGTCCCAGACCCAGTGGCTTAAACTCACACCAGGCGCGTGTGCATGTGTGCCCGCCCAAGGTCCCAAGAGGAGTATGGAGGAGAAGGGATTGCAGCGTGGCCATCCCCCCGGGGGAGTGATTTATTGCTTTCTGTCTCTCTGTCTTTCTGGCGAGCACACATACCCTATAGCAAAAACCTCTCAAAAAAAAAAAAAGATGGCCATGCTTTGGGGAAACCCTGCTGTCTGTAGGTTCATCATTTCCCGTCCACTGCATATTTGCAAAATATTCCATCATAAATATGTACGATAAGATTTGCTGGGAAAAGGTCATCTATTTACTTTAAAATATTATCGTGTTTGTAATCTGATCTTCCACGCAATGCAGAGCAGAGGAGAAAGCGGCATTCGAGTTCTCGCAGATCCCCAGTCCCTCTCATAGATTTTTTAGACCACGAGTCTTTCAACACACATCGCTCTGCATCCGAGTCCGTGGCAGAGCACCCAGTGACTTTATCACAGTTATCACTCATGACAGAGACGGACTCAACTACATATGCAGAAAAAGCCTCCTGAACTCGACAATGTGTGTGTCGCAGAAACGCAAGCAGGTGTCTTACACACAGGTGAAGCCCAGAGGCACCACCACTTCAAAGGGCAGAGCTGACAGCCCAGCCCCGGCAGACAGCACATAGATTTGGACGCAGCTGGGGCCACAGCCCTGGCTGCAAGTCACGTGAGCAGAGTGACTGGCCGTGGAGTTGAAGACTCCACCTAGGAAGGCAGGGTTTCCGGAAATGGATGAGTGCCAGAGCACGATGAGGACTGAATGGCAGAGCGAAGACAGAGGAAGCCAAAGGAGATCAGAGCTCTGTGGGTGCCTCCTCTCTTCCACTCTCACCACTGAGAGCAGAGCCACGCCTATCTGGGTAGGTAAGAAAACCAGGGAAGTGAGACAGGAGGGTTGTGAGTTGTGGTAAGACAACCAGCAAAGCTGGCCTGACAACACTTACAGTCTAGAATCAACCGTTCATCATTACATGTGACTTTTCAAGCAAAGACTACTTACAATAGTCAGAATACCTTAAAGACAGCCACATTATGAAACTCAGGTTCCCTACAGAAAGAGCACCTCGGCTGTCCCCAATCCCGCCCTACCTCCTTTAGTAGAAGGATGGTACGTTCGATGTCGCTCAGACTAGGCGGGGAAAGGGCAGTGGCCAGCAAAGCTCTTGGCTCCCCCATGTCAAGTAGCTTCACTTTCAGTATTGTGCTCCCTAACGGACAGCGCTGAAAAGAGCAAGACTTAGATTAGGAAATAATAAAGCAACTACACCGGTTAGCCTATTCAATGGCGAGAGCTTCAGAGTGAGAGGCCGAGGAAGGCAGCAGAGAGAGAAGGTCAAGAGAGAGAGAGAAAGAAGAAAAAGGACGTAAGAGAAAGAAGGGACGAGAGACAAAAGCAGAGAGAAAGGACAAAAGGAAGGAGAAAAAACAGAAAAGAAAGGTAAATTGAGAAAGAAAGAAAAAGAAAGTGAAAAGAGGAAAGAAAAAACACTGATTCCACAATTATGTACTATACAAGGAAATGGAAAACGGGAACATTAAGAATAATCCCATCCAAGAACCAACAGACACTAGAAAACTCCAGTCATTAAGTAGGTAAAGTCCTCCGTTGGTGCCTGTGCCGAGTAAATGATAAACCAGCAGGTGATAAAGCCAAGTCTGGCCCGACAGAGATGACTCTGGAGTGAAAACCGTACAACACTCCAAATCACAGTACAGAGACTGCTGGGTGAGGCCCTGTAAACACGAGCTTTGTCAACTGCCGGAAGAGTTACCAGCATCTCGGGAACAACGTGGTCGGGGATAGAGCTGTCCCAGAAATCCCTGCGGATCAGTCTGTAACAGAATCCTTTAGACACTCGTCCAGCGCGACCTTCAGAAGAGAAATGTGCAGATACCATTAATTACCTCGACGTTAACAGGAAGACATACTCAAGAACAGTCATTAAATACAATTTTTTAAAAAAACTGAATTATCTTCTTCCGGATTATGTCAGTAAAACCTTTAGCATAAACCCAGCAGTTAGGGTGGCTGGATTCCACATGGCTGAATGTGGGGTTTGAGTCCTGAACCTAACAGGTTGGAAAACATGCCAGGCATATGTATGTGCCCCAACTCCTGACAGTAGAATGGAGGGGGGCTGCAGTGTGGCCATGCCTTGTGAGAGGTGGCTTCGTAATCTCCCTGTCTCCAGTGAGCACACGTGCCCTATTTCAAAAACTTAAAACAAACAAAACAAAACTTTAGCATAAGCTAATGTGTTCTCAGTAAGTTATTCCTATCCTACATGGGAATAACTATTCTAAAAGTCAGAATGCATTTTAGAAAGATTATACACTCCAGTCATAATTCTAAGAAAATCACCCAGCCCCAATACACAATAGAAACCCAAGCATTTTATTTATCTTTTTTTTTTTTTTTTTAATGAGAGAAATTTTTGCTGTAAGGCTCATGTGCTTGCTGGAGAAACAGAGAAAGACAGAGAGACAGAAAGCAAGAGATTGCCCCTCCACAAGGGGCCGGTCATACCACAATCCCTTCTCCTTTCTCCTCTCAGGATCTTGGGCACGCACGCATGCACACTCGCCATGACTTTTTTTTTAAACCACCGGTCCAGGACTCGAACAGCAACTGACTACATGGGAGTCCAGCGACATAACCATTATGCCATCTACTGGTCCCACCAAGCACTTTAAATAGCACACACTTTCTGCAGATGCATAGCTCATACTAGTGAAAATACTGAGGTCAGGGACCAGCAGATGACATAATAGCTACATCACTGGACTCACATGTAGTCGACCGTGGTTCAAGTCCCAGACCCGGTGGCTTAAACTCACGCCAGGAGCGTGTGCATGCGTGCCCAAGATCCCGAGAAAAGAATGGAGGAGAAAGGATTGCGGTGTGGCCATCCCCCTGGGGGGTGATTTCTCACTTTCTGTCTGTCTCTCTCTCTTTCTGGTGAGCGCACGTGCCCTATAGCAAAAAACCTCTCTTCTCCTCACCAACCCCTCCCCAAAAAGAAAATACTGAGGTCCCCAAGTGGAAGCCACGAAGCTGTGACAGCAGCTACAGTTCACTCAGGTCTAGGACGCACCAGGAGATGGAAGGGGCACCCAGACGCTCGGGCTGTGCTTGCTGCTACCATCTTACCTCATGACCCTGCAAAGGTCTACTTCCAGGAAGCTTTCAAGTCCAAGGAGTGAGCACATGAGGAGAGCTCAGGGCCTTGGGTGCCCCTGGAGACCAACAAACTGTTTAACTGTCTCGTGACTGTATCACTGTGGGGTAGAGACGCTTTTATACCCACACAATAGAACCATCTAAGAAGACAGGACAACTGAGGTATGGGAGGGAGTCTTTAATAAATACCCAGCTTTAAAAACAACGAGGCAGCCCAGGGAGCTTTCTTCACCCCCTGAAGAGTCAAAGAAGACTGAGGGGGTGTCTGGACTCCTGCCTCTTCCATGCCTCCTGCCATCCCCGGAAGCTCCCCTTACTGCCACGAGACTGTGTAGTCTGGACCTCCGCCTCTTCCTAATGCCCCTCACCATACTTGCAAATGACAGGATTGTGTAAGCAGAAAATCCCAAGGTAATCTTTAAAAACAGACAAGGAGGCTAGACCGCAGTTCAGTGGCAAATACAACAGTGTACGAGGTGGAGCCGCAAGTGGAGGCTTTCGCCCCAAGTCCAGAATCGTCCCTGAGCGGACAGGCATGTGCGTGCCCAGGGTACAGGGCTTGCTGAGGCTGGGGTGAGTCGGAATCAGGGCCCTACTGAGGGCTCTGTGTGTAAGTGGACATCCATCAGTCTATCATTCTTGCTCATGGAAGAAATAAACTTCTTAAAAATCCTCATGCTCGCTTTGAACCATCCAAAAAGATTAGCATAGCCCCTGCACAAGACAGACATACAAATTTATGAAGTGTCCCATATTTTTCAGAAGACTTTCAGAACTTTAAATTCAACCTTTACACCAGCCCAAACCATCAAAAAGGGAAGAACGAAAAGAACATACAGGAAATTTGGGACACCATTAAGGGATCAAATATTTGCATTGTAGGTATCCCAGGAGACGAAGAGGTGAGTAAAGTCACAGAAAATCTACTTGGTGAAATATTAGTTGAAAATGTGCCAAATCTAAGGAGCAATACAGACATCTAGAACCAAGAAATCCAAGGGACACCAAACAGATTTAATGTAAGATCCTCTCCAAGGCACATTACAGCCAAAATGTAAACAGTCAAAGACAAAGCCTAAAAACGGCTAGAGAAAATCACCAAGTTACTTATAACGGTTACCTTGTCAGACTGATCTCAGACCTCTCAGCAGAAACCTTCAAGTCCAGGAAGGAATGGGATGACATGCTCAAACTCCTGAGAGAAAAACATTTCAGCCAAGAATATTACACTGAGCAGAACTACCCTCCGAATTGGAAGGGGGAATGAAAATGTTCTCAAACAAAAACCGAAGGAATTCACGGATACTAGCCAGGCTCGTCAAGAAATACTCAAGTGTGTACTACATACCGAAACAAAAGAAAGATAAATACCATCATGCAAACACAGGGACCTATCGAACTCACCAGTAGGACAACTACAGAAAAGAAGGAATAGGAGGGACCAGCACTTAGCGTAATGGCTATGTCGCTGGACTGTCATGTAGTCAACCGCGGTTGGAGTCCTGGACCCGGTGGCTTAAACTCACGCCGGGTGCGTGTGCATGTGTGCCAAAGATCCTGGGAGGAAAATGGAGGAAAAGAGAGAAAGGAGGAGGAGGAAGAGGAGGAAGAAGAGGAGGAGGAGAAGGAAGAGGAAGAGAAGGAGGAGGAGGAAGAGGAGGAGGATGAGAAGGAGGAGGAAGAAGAGGAAGAGAAGGAGGAGGAAGAGGAGGAGGAGGAAGAAGAGGAGGAGGAAGAGGAGGAGGAGGAGGAAGAGGAGGAGGAGGAAGAGGAGGAGGAAGAGGAAGAGAAAGAGGAGAAGGAGGAAGAGGAGGAGGAAGTGGAGGAAGAGAAGGAGGAAGAGGAGGAGGAAGAGGAGGAGGGGGAAGAGGAAGAGGAGGAAAAGGAAGAGAAGGGGGAGGAGGAAGAGGAGAAGGAGGAAGAGAAGGAGGAGGAGGAAGAGGAAGAGGAGGAAAAGGAAGAGAAGGGGGAGGAGGAAGAGGAAGAGAAGGAGGAGGAAGAAGAGGAAGAGAAGGAGGAGGAGGAAGAGGAAGAGAAGGGGGAGGAGGAAGAGGAGGAGGAGGAATAGGAGGAGGAGGAGGAAGAGAAAGAGGAGGAAGAAGAGGAGGAAGAAGAGGAGGAGGAGGAGGAAGAGCAGGAGGAGGAAGAGGAGGGAGGAGGAGGAAGAAGAGGAGGAGTAGGAAGAGGAGGAGGAGGAGGAGGAGGAGGAGGAGGAGGGCTGTGAGGCCATGTAGAGTGGGATCAGACAGTAGGTGGTCCCTCCTATGGTCACTGCCATGGCGGTCCCAGTAAAGCATTTGGTCAGGCAGGCTTCGTTTCAGGTGGATGGGCACACCATCAGATTTCTATCTCGACGGAGGCGGCGAAGGTGAACAGAAGACAGAGGCCTCAGTGCCTTTTCATGCACGTCCTATGCCGGACACCCCTCAGAGATTGTTCTCTGAGGAGTGACAACTGCTAGGAATCATCGTGCGTTTTTATTGAAAACGTGTTACATGTAAGTAAATAGAGAGGGGCTAGTGTTTTAATTAACAGCTCATACAGTTTTTAACAATAAAGAACAAAGATTCTATTCAGGGTTGGATTAAAGGTAGGTCTAGTGCAATTCCTATTCAGGGGTGGATTAAGGGTGGGTCTAGTGCAGTTCCTCAATTGTAGGTGGGTCTCCATGGAATGCAGTTTCGGGAAAGCGGTTCCGGTAAGCAGATGCGGCGCAGAAAATGGTGCTGAGAAAAAAAAATCTCAAGTATAATTATTAGTTCTTATAAATTTTAATAAAGAATAGTACTTATATAGTTTTATAGGAATCTAAAACTTAAAGAATCCTAATATATTTATCTATTTTACTTAGAGAGGGCGGGAGTGTCCTGGGCCAATTTTGGCCTAATCCTATTTTAGGTAAAGAAAGAATTAAGTTTACCTTAAATATATTTTAAAAGGCCTTCCAAAAGTCAAGATTATTTCTGCCTAAAAAAAACTTCAGCCCACCCTCTATTGTGACCATAGAGATAAAAAGCAATGTAATTAATAGTAAGTGATCAGAGCAAAGGGGAGCAGTTAGGGGACTTCCTAAAAAATTTTATCGTATACTCAGAATATATAAGAGAGCTATATAATTCTTTTATAGTAGTATATTGGGGGAGTCAGAGGGGAGTCGCTTCCCAGCAAGGCTGCCACAGTTTCTAGAGCAAAATCCTAGGTCAGGGGGGCACACAATAGCGGCCTTGCCAACGTACTAAACAAACCGGAAGCGAGAGGGCTCAGACAGATCCTGGGGCCCTACCGGGTCGGACTCCTCCATTTCTGGGAAATCTTCTATAGCTCTGGAACTTTGTTTTCCCCAGTATAGTCATATATAGTTGAATTAGAGGTCAGTTTAGTTGGTGTAGCAAATATGATAGGCGGTGCTTCTGCGGAAGCCACAGGCTTTAATCCCTGCGGACTACAGGCGTCCGAAGCCCGTGCTCCCACCAACTTCTACACGAAGCCACTAAACTTGATCCAAAAGAAAGGAAATCTCACAAATTCATGTTATGAAGCCTCCATAATCCTTACTCCCAAAACAGATAGAGACATGAATATTGATGCAAAATTCTCAACATGATGCTTGCAAATCATATCCAACAACATATAAAAAAGATTATGCATCACAACCAGGTAAGCTTTATTCCAGGGATGCAAGGGTGGTTCAACATATGTAAGACAATAAACATAATATACCATATTAATAGAAAGAAAGATAAAAACCATAGGATCATTTTAATCGATGCAGAGAAGGCATTTGACAAAATACGACATCTCTTCATGACTAAGACTCTTGGCAAAATTGGTATAGAAGGATAATTTCTCAACGTAATAAAAGCCATATATGAAAAACCTATAACTAACATTATACTGAATGGGGGAAAACCAAAAGCTTTTCCACTACGAACTGGTACAAGACAAGGCTACCTACTTCCTCCACCCCTTTTCAATATAGTACTAGAAGTCCTAGCCAATGCAATCAGAAAAGAGAAAACTACAAAAGGCATTCAAACAGGGAAAGAAGAGTTGAAAATATCTCTGCAGATGACATGATGGTATATACAGAAGACCCACAGGTATCCATGAAAAAATTTCTTAAAGTAATAAATGAATACAGTAAAGTGGCAGGATATAAAAATCAACATCCAATAATCTATAGCATTTCTTTTTTTTTTTTTGGTTGGAGATTGTGAAGACCTTTACTTGTTAATTTTATTATTATTATTACATTTGAAGCCAGCTTATTTACTAAAGTTATATAAACTTGAGAAATATTTAGATTAATTTTTATGGGCGCTTTTTTATAAACCAAATTGAATAGAATACTTTAAGGCCTGTTTTTACACAGACATACAACATATAGTATGTAAAATGACATATAGCATTTCTATATACGAACAACAAGCTGACCAAGGTAGAACTGAAGAAAGGAATTCTTTTCACCATAGCCACAAAAATGTTTAAGATACCTAGGGATAAACCTAATCAAAGGAGTCAAAGACCCTTACAAGGAAAACTGAAAATCTTTAAAAAGATATTGAAAAAGACCCAAAAAAGTGGAAGGACATCCCATGTCCCTGGATTGAAAGAATTGATATAATCAAAACGACAATTTTCTTCAAGTTAATCTATACATTTAATGCAATTCCAATCAAATTACCAGAGACATTCTTCACAGGTCTAGAAAAGACAATCATAGAATTTGTCTGGAACCATAAAACACCCCGTATCGCCAAAGCAATCCTGCACAAGAAGAGTGAAGTGGGCGGCATCTCACTCCTGACCCCAAAATATACTATAAAGCTGTGATAATCAAAACAGCATGGTATTAGCACAAAAATAGACAGGCAGACTAATGAAATAGAATAGAGATCCCAGAAATAAACCCCAAAACATACACCCAACTGATTTCTGACAAAGGAAAACCTCTTTAGCAAATGGTCATGGAAAAACTGGGTATCCACCTGCAGAAAGATGTAACTGGATCCCCATCTTTTGCCATGAACAAAAATCAACTCAGAATGGATCAAAGACCTGAAATAAGACCTCAAACTAAGAAACAACTGGTGGAAGACACGGGGGAACCTCTGGGAGACATTGGGGTAGGCAAAGACTTCTTAAATAAGACCTCGAAAGCATAGGCAATAATTCCCAAAAGAAACAAATGGAATCAATCCCATCAGATTAAGACATTTCTGCACAGCAAAAGACACAGTAATTATTGTGAATCAACACCCTCGGAATGGGAGAATATTTTGTAAACTGCCTCAGATAAGGGACTGCTAATCAGAATATACAGGGAACTCAAGCAGCTTACCTGAAAAAAAAAAAAGATTAACCCAATTAAAAGATGGGAAAATAAGCTGAACAAAATACTCTCTAAGGAAGACATATGAACAGCCAAAAAGCGTATAAAGAAATGCTCAACATCCCTCAGCATAAAGGAAATGCAGATAAAACCACAATGAGATACCACCTAACCCCTGTGGGAATAGCGAAGATTACAAATACGAAAAACAGTAAGCGTTGGCAGGGTTGTGGTGAAAAGGGAACTCTCCTACACGGGTGGTGGAAATGTAAATTGGTGCAGCCACTGTGGAGAACAATATGAAGGTTCCTCAAAGACCTACAAATAGAACTATCATATGGCCCAGCAATCTCACTCCTGGCACCTACTCAGAGGACAGGAGAATGCTCAGACGGAAAAGTGCTTGCACATCAATGTTTACTGCAGC